TTTCAAGATCATATAAACAATCCAAAAACCAGAAACTTAAAATACTTGAGTAAAGGAGTATTCAGCCTAAAACACCACAATTCTTACCCTTTAATGAATGATACAGCTTTGATGTCTATATTTAGTCATATAAAGGACAGGAAATGCTTTCCAACTATTTCAAGACAAATTTCATACTTCATTTGCTACCAATAACCTAGATGAAGTATGAAAAAAAATTTGTAAACTAAAATTCAAAAATAATTGGAGAAAAATTCAGACGCAAAATTCAAAAAAATTTCCTACTTGTCTACATTCAAAATCACATATGAAAAAAATTTGACGAAGGGAAACTTCACATTGCTCCAGTAATTGGAGAAAAATAATATACTTATTTGAAACATAACTGGCAAAAAGTTCATTATCCAGAATCCAAAAATAATGTTCAACCATGGAATTGAATTGCATAGTAGTCAGTACTTCACAATTGACAAGTACAACGTAATCTTATAACATTTAACCTGTGAGATGGAAATTGGTGGTATGAGTGATTTCCGGATTGACCAGATGCAGAAGACGAACCAGCGTGATCATTAGCTCCATTTTCCTTTTTGTACACAGGTTTACTGTGCAACACACCAGTTTCTAACAAAAAAAAAGTACGTCAACAATGTGTGAAAAACTTGTGAAATTTACAACTACAAAGAATCGTTCACATACCACTAGAACCAAACTGGTTCAAGCTACTGCGTCCAGCATAACGATCTGGACCACCCTTACTCGTACGACTGGAAGGGATATTAGGACCACGAGATCTGGAATCAACCGGATCCTTATTCTGAAGAAGCAAGAAAAAAGAGAGGAGTGAAGAACATTGAGAAAATAAGTCAAGATCAATTATATGTGTATGAGATAAGTTATCTACTAAAGCCAGCTAAACCAACATGAATGCAGTATCTGAATGACATGGTAAAAGCTTTTAGAACAAACATCTGCATTCCTCTCACATACGCACCTCTTTTTTCTTTTCTCGTTTGCTCTTCACCTCATGAAAAGGGTCTACACAACGATAGAACAAAATGATTATAATCTTTAAACCTTTAGAGTCGCACAGAGAGAAACTAACAGAACGCACAACCACAAATGTCCTAGAAGATACTCATTCTAAAAACATGTACTTGATAGCCCCAAAAGCATAAATGTCTCGTATGGGTTGATAGAAGCACGAACAGAAGTTGGCAAGATTATTCTTTCTGGTCTCACTTCACCAACGATGACAGTGAAAATACAACCTTCAACTTCAACATTTAAACAAAACATTTGCATAATCAAGTACGAACTTGGATTTCACGACCAAGAGTTCTCGCGGCAAAACCCGGCGGGTAAAACACAAGGATGATTAAACTTGCCGACGCAAGAAAAATAGAGAACCGTGAACGTGGAAATAGGAGAAAAAAGAAAAGACCTTGCGTAATGAGGCGATTAACGGCTTCATCAGGATCCATATTACATTCTCTTAGGGTAGCATAGATCTCCTGGTCGGTACAGTTATTTACAATCTCTTTCAAGCTCTGGACCATCTTCCGCCACTCGGCCGGAATTCCAGATGCTCCATTGGTGCTTTTGCTTCCTCCTCCTCCTCCTCCTTTGGCACCCATACTGTTTCGCTATGTTTGGATACCTCTCTCCCTCACCGGCCGGGGGTTCAGATCTGAGAAACCTTTCAAAAGGACAGGCTTTAGTCCGTCTCCCGCTAGGGTTCCGCCGTGACAGGAAGAAGATATGTTTGTCGATGCACTGTATACGATTCTCTCTCTCGTCTCTCGTTCTGCTTTTTGTTACGCATCGAAAACCCTTTTCCTCTCTCTCTCGCTCTCTCTCTAGTCTCCCTCCTTTTTTCCTCTGTCTCCACCAATTTTCCTTTTTCTTTTTCTTTTTCTTTTTCGTTTTTTGGGAACCGAAATAAATAATTAAAACAATACCAATAACATCAAACTCCCAAAACGACGTCGATTTATCAGATAACATAAGAAGTAATAATACGATTACCACGCTAGAAAAATAAATACAAAATTACAAAAAAAAAAAAAAAAAAAAAAAAAAAAAAAAAAAAAAAAAAAAAAAAAAAAAAAAAAA